AAACTATGTTATGTGCTGTTGCTCAGTGTGTCTGTCGTGAGGGCTCGTAGATTTTCCCAGCTGTAATGACTGCAGAGTAACAAGTGCCTGGCTATCTCTGTTACTGTATTGGAAGGCAGATTTTCCCTACACTTAAAGAACCACATTTTTCCTGGTGCAGTCCCACACCTCCCCACCCACCCCCAGCTGCCTTTTCCTTGCAACTGGAGCTTAACTACTCCCCACGTTATTTGCTGCAATGTGGACAGCTCTAATGGTGTCTCCAGATTAAACATCCCTGCCAAGCCTTGAGCAGTATCTAGATTGGCTCATTAGATAATAGCATAAAGTGTCTTTGCTCCTGGTTCTAATAGAATAATTACTGTAAATAGTCTCCATTTCCTTTGCAAACCCAGCCTCAGTGAGCTAAAGGGAGGTAAGGGAGGGCTGCCTCTAATGGAATGTGGGAACAGAACCGAGCTGTCCAAATGGAACCATTGTCTTTGTAGCTGTTCAATCAAGTACAAGACATCGAAGAATCCAGGTTCTTTTATTTATTTAAGACATTTATTTTAATTTTGATGATCCTTACATAGCTGAGAAGGATGCACACTCAAGTGGACCATCGATCAGGGTGGGAAGGGTTGAAGAATGGGGGAAAGTGGATGAGATAATTACTTTCAATTCTTTCCTTTTCTGTATCTGGGGGAAGGAAGGAGAGAAGGAGAGAGGGCTGCTTCTAGCAGCCCAACCACATCAATACACAGTAATGGGGACAGCCACTAGATGTCATCCTAGGGTCCCCTGTGCAGAGCATGCTTCAAGGGTATTGCTTAAGTGGTTTGAATAGGTCTGAGATGCTGTTGATTTCAGTGCTCCAAGGTTGAGAAAAATCCCTCTAAGATTCATTGGCTGACATAGTCCTCCTTAAAGTTTCCACTTGCCCAAATACTTGCTGTCAAAGTTTGGCCAGAAAAACTGTCCAACTTGTTCCACCCTCCATCCTCTGTCATGGTACCAACTTCTTGCAAACAAGCCATTCCTCATGGGGAAGGCACAGCTCAGAGATCTGAAGAAACCAGGCTATGGGATCTATGGGGCAGTTTTCAGTGAGTTAGATTGGCAAAGGACAAGTTTTCTCTTCCTTGCCCATGCTGACCTGTGTCTTCTCTATGTATTTTACTGGGTTCAAGTAGCATTTCTGTTGAGTGTCCTTCCTCAAGGGTGGAAGGACACTCCACCCTTGAGGATATTGTGCATTAAGCACAACAACAGGGACCTTTACAAGTAATCTCGTTGAATCTTCCTGAAGCTCCTGGAAAGTAGGTAAGGCAAATGCATTGTTAGAAGATTAGTGATTTTCCCAAGGTCATGCATTAATCAGCTACAGAGTCTGGATTTGAATGCATCGAACTCTGCAGTTCAGTTTTACTTTTCCCCAACACAGGCAAGGGCATAGGATGTAGAGCAAAGGGTCATCTTGAATTCGTTCTTGGTTTTCTGACCTGCTTTGTAGCTTTGGAGGAGTCTTGTTCTCTGAGGTACAGCTGAGCAGGATGAGTCAGACTTTGGGCGGTGGGATGGGGTTGTCTGCAAGGGCATTGGACTGAAGATGAGCTTGGCTTTTGGAGCTTTCTTAAAGGTTGTATGCTTGAAACACATTTCATTATAAAGCTACTGATGCTTTAGCTGATTGCTAAAGATCTTACCCCCCTGACCATGTTAGGTCTTATCCCTGTCTGTGTAATCCACAAAAAGTGTCAATAAATGAAGACAAAACAGAAATGCCACAATTTCTTGTAGCCCCCTGCCTCCCAACATTTGAGTGCAACGTTTGCTCTGCTTTTCATCTGAGGGCTCTACTGCTATGCTTAGGATGTCACTGAAGGCTAACACTGGATAAAGCTGGAGGACTGGAAGGTGGGAGCAGTGGAGGGTGCTGGTGGGAAGGACCACTGAAGGGCCATTGGGCTGAATGTTGCTACCTGGGGATGAAAGTAGACTGCTTGCTAGCAAGGCCTGCACACGTGTCGCTTGTTTCCATCATTCTCACCTGCTCCAGCATCTCCTTTATAGTCATAAACCTGGATTTAGTCTTTTTGTCGCCTAATAGTATGTAGCGTATTTCAGAGATCTCATCAGGAGATGATGAAAATAGTAAATGAGTTAATGCTGTTTTAAGCCTTAACAGTACCTAACACATAATGCATATGTAAGAAATGTGAACTGTCCTTATTAATTATAGGCTCTTTATAAATATCATATGAGCTAATTTGGTGTTATATCACCTTCCAGTTATTCTCCCTCTCTTGTTATTCATCCTCAGTGTTTATGAGCTGTGGTTTCTCGAGCTGATTTGATTGTGATCCAGTCCTTTGACCATACTGACCACTGTGCAGGGTTCTCTAGCCATTTCCACATTAAGATGAGCTTTCAACATTAGGGAATTTGTTCCATTGTCGGAAAGAGGCAGGCATAAGTAGAACAGTCTGTAGAAAGGGCATTGATACACATGCAACCTAGATATCACCAAGAGGCCTCCCCAATCCTTGGAAACATGAGTTGCAAGCAAAGCAAGGTTTTATTAGCTGTGAAGCTCCAGCTGTGAAGCTGCTTGGAAGCTATAAGTGAAAAAGGGGCTCTCAGCAGCAGATCAAGACCTCTGTATGCCTACAAGGGCATCCCTTAAGCTCACAGCCCAGAGAGCCCAAGGGAAGGGAGCCCTCTGTTCTAACTGGCTTCATGTGCTCACTGCTTCTTTCCCAAGGGTTTGCAGATCGGTGATTGGAAACCAGGTTTAGCTCCAAAATTAAGAACTAGCTCTAAAACTCAGTGATTGTCAAGATATGTTTCTGAAGTCTGCCTCTTAGGAACTTAGAACTGTGTTGCATTCAGGCTTCTGTTACTGGAGGCTCACATCCCACAGATGTGACCAGGATCAACTGCATAGAGTCCTCCAATATTCCCTGGTGTGTTTTACCTCCTCCTACAGAATCGAACTTGAAAGGGCCTTGGCACTTCTGTAGTGCCCTCCGGGCTCTTCAGCTACCTGACACTCTTCAGCACTTTTACCTTGTGTCTTTGTTCCCCCGGGAGGAACTCGCTCACTGCCATCTAATCAGATCTTAGCTTTGGCTCTGAGAAGTTGTTATTTTCCTTGTCTGTGGTTTCCTCAAACATATCTAAAAGGGAGCAAACAGTTCACTTTGCTCTTTTTAGCTTTTTCTTTTGTGCTGTCCTTTTCGGATTGCCAGCTCACTAAATTTCAAAAATGTACTTTCTCAATAGCGACAATGATAGGAATCAGGGTGGAGATAACACGTGATATTGACTGCTTCTTCTGACTCACCATGCCAAGTGTTTTACATGTTGTATCTCTTTTTATGAATCGCTCTTAGTGCAGCTGACTGCAGGACTGACCATATAAGCAGACTTTCAGACCATACTAACAATAATAGCTAATATGTATTTGGCCTTCACCCTGGCTAATTTCCACATTCCTAACTTTTGTTGTCATAGAAAATCCTGTAAATTAGGTAATATTATCCTCGATTACAGATGAATAAATGAGGCTCAATGCAAGAGCACTAAATAGTCATTCTACTCCTCAGCAGAGCCTAGGCTAAATACCTAGCACCTCACTCAGGGCCAGGAATACACACAGTCCCTTCCCCCAAGATGTTCCCAAGAAGATGGTGACAATGGATTTCTGGAATTATCTAATGCTTGCTTTTATTCTGGATTCCTGTGTCCCTACACTTTGCAGATTCTAGATTTCATTTCTTAGTCTCAGCATCTTCAGACTTTGTGAACTTTGTGAGGGGCCACTGGTCAGTTGTAATCCTAGAATGTACTGATTTATCCAGATAAAGGAGATAAAATATCCACTTTCCTGAGGAGGGTTTACTGATTGGCTCAGAGGAGTTGTCAGAGAGGGAGGGAATGAAAAGGAGTTTGGAAAAAGCCCTTTGGGAACAGAGGGGTGAACAGCTGGCCTTACAAGGAAAGAGGAGGCTGTGTTTTGGATTGGGTTGTGAGGCACAGATAAGCTGAATGTATTCTCAGAGCTGGAATTAGAGGCCTTAGAACCTGTCACCCCTTTACCTGCCAGGATGCTTGTGGCTGCACGGAACAAGGTCCTTCACCAAGACTCACTTTAACAAGAAGACCTACTGTCTTAGATAATAAAGAAACTAGAGGGAGACCACACTCCAGCAGTTAGTGGGTCATTGCTCCAAATTCTAGTTATCTTTGCCCAAATGACTCCCATCCTGTTTGCAAGGTGGTCTCCAGCAGCAATGAAGTGAATCTACTTCCTTCTTCAAATCCAGTAGGAGACATAGTGTCTTATCTCATGGCTCTCTGTTAGGATAAAGGAAAGTTTTCCTTAGGGCAATTTTAATATGGGTCATTGGCCTAAATTGAGTCTCACTCTCTTCTTTAACTAATAGCTGGCAGTTTGGGTGACATTACATCATCTGAAGTGGAATGGATTTGGGAAAGCAATCACCAAGCCATTATAGGGCCAGATTTTCCAAGACAGATTTAAGCTTAATCACAGTGAGTAACCCACTGCTATTGTGGTGTCTACCTAGAGAATTAGCATGTAGAGTTGCCAGATTTAGAAAATAATATAGGACATACAGTTAAATGTGAATCTCAGATAAACCATGGCTATTTATTTATCTTTTTTAGTACAATTATGTACTAGCCAATATTTACTGGCCTTTGTGTCCTGGTATTTGGCATAGACCAAAATGGTCAGATAAGTGCTTAGCTATATGACATCAGAAAATATTGTAGAGGCTATAGTGAGCTAGAGGCCTAGACTTAAGCTCAAATCTGAGTCCTGCCTTACTTGTGAGAGCTCAATGGAGTATAAATCAGTTTAAAAGGACAGGAGGGTTGGGAGACCTTCTCCAGGTACCTAGTGTGCACCTGTGACCTGGGTGCTTGACACAGAGTGATTGCCTCTCATCTCTGCGAGATCCTCATTGACCTGTCCTACCCTTGCTTTTCAGGGGCCCGACTGCTGTGGGCAGGCCTTGCTACAGATTGGAATCAACATGATGGCATTGCCTGGGGGCCGCCAGCTGGACTCCCTCCCCCTGCCAGGGCAGCGGTAAGTTCTAGAGCTGTCTCTCAGGGCCAGACCTGCACCAATCTGGATTCTGGCTGAGGCTGAACCCCCAAATCATGAGGAGGCAGGCAGCCCCAGCTCTGCAAGCTTTGTCCCTGCTGGAAACCCAGGATGAGATATTGGGTATTGCATTTAATTAGCTTAATATGGATGGCTCTGACCTTGGGATAGAAAGTCATTAGGGTCATCCCATCCCATCCCCCAGGGAGCCTCAGTCTGATGTGGAGGCAGAGGGTGGAACAAAGAATTGAGAGGAGTGTGCTGCTAAGAGACTCCAGAGAAGGTTCCTGATCCCCCTTAGGTCATGGGGTTCCAGCCACTGAGGACTCTGAGGTTAGTGCAGGCCCCTCTGAGCTTTTTGGGAAGTGTCAGTCCAGAGGTTTTCTCTTTCTCCTTAATCACCAAGGAGGTAATTGAATGCAGAGCTTATCATTGGAAAGTACTTGCTGCCCTGAGTTGAGCAGTATGGGGAGTGGGAAGGAGGTTGCCACTGAGCATCAGGTGAAGCAAATGATGAGAGAAGTGTTTGGGAGCGTTTAGCCTGAAGGAGATGTGGAGCTGAAACAGGTGTGTGCATACAGCTGAAAGGTACTTAGAATCTGTAGATTTAGCTTGCTTTGTCCTGAGGGCATCAAGCAGAACCAAGCTCTGTGTTGACCGAGTATACTGGCTTACCTGGGACTGTCCTAATCTTGGCATGAAAGTCTTGGGTTCCTGGAAACACTTAGGTGCCAGGCATGCCAGAGCTGGTCATCCTAAGGTAGGGTTGATCCACAGAAGAAGCCTTAGACTGCTCAGGGCTTCTCCTTAGCCTTGCTATTTCTTGAGATATTTTGATGGGGTTGTTTTGAGATGACAAAATTTGAGTAATGTTTTTGAGAATATGGGATCATTGGTTTTCTTTGTAATGTTTTGTTTTAGGTATTAAATATATTACTGAAATCTTGCTGTCATTTTCTGCTTATCCTCCTGCACCTCACAATTACCAGAGATATCAGCTTATCCATCCTTCATTTTCATACTGTTTGTATTCTGGGCATTTTATTTTGTGTCTTTTTCTGCTCTTAAGAAAATTCTAAAAATTATTTACTATAAGGTAATTGAAGACAATTATTCTCTATTAAGGACCCAGTCTGCTCCCCAAAGACATGTTAATAAAGAGGTTTAAAGGGTAAACATTGTGGCATAGTATGTTAAACTGCCATGTAGGACACTGGCATCCCACATCAAGGTGCCAGTTTGAGCCCTGGATCCTTAGCTTCTGATCCAGTTTCCTGTTGCCTGGGAGGTAGCAGATGGTGGCTCAAGTACTTGATTTCAGGCACTGTGGCACAGTGAGTTAAGCCACTGCCAGTGATGCTGGCATCCCATATTGGAATGCCAGTTCAAGTCCTGGCTGCTCCATTTCCAATCCAGCTCCATGCTAATGTTCCTGGAAAATCAGCATTTGATTTTCTATGTCAGAGAATCCAGAAAAGCTCCTGGTCCCCAGCTTTGGATCAGCCCAGATCTGGCTGTTATGACCATTTGGGAAGTGAACTAACAGATGGATGATCTCTGTCTCTGTCTCTGTCTCTCCTTCTCTCTTATTAACTCTGATTTTCAAGCAAAATAAATAAACCTTTAAAGATATATAAAGGAATAAGGATATGGTATTAATTCAAGTGTGTTCCTTAGGACTCAGGACACTTAGCACATAATTAATATTTTCTGTGCATTTGGAAGCGAAGCATAAGCAAAGCCATATGGATTCAGTTTTCTCTGCATGCAGTGTCTGAAAGGTAGAACTCAGATGTGATGGTATACAGAATTGTGGGTCTAGATGTGTTCTCTGAGATGGGGCTCACCTCAACATGAAATGGTCAGTGGTCTGTGATCAGCTTTGGACATGAGACTTTGTAACTTCCAAGCTGGGCTCTACTTCTTACCAGCTGTATACCATTGTGCAAGGTCTTGAATCCCTTGGGTGCCTTAGTTCCCTCCTGTATCAAATGAGGGTATGACTACAGTGTCCACCTCATAGAACTGATATGGGAAGTAAATGAGTTCATACATGCAACATGCCTGGCATGCATGGGGAGTATTTAGGGGGAACTGTTGCTTGTGTTGTTGGTTCAGTGGCAGGGGCTTGTTCTTGCAGGTGTTCTTAGAGATTCCTTCTAGAAGTCCCAAGAAGATCCTTATTTGCAGAAGGTAGCCTCACTGAGAAGGTGAGAAATTGCAGAGACTCCTAACAGCCTAGGATTTTAAACCAAGAGAACTAGGACCTATTCTGGATGAAGTGGAGTCTACAGCTCTCCTGAACTGCCCTACCTTGCCCAGGTCGTGGTTGGGAACTGTGGAGCCAGACGTGTGAAGCAGCCCTGGCTACAGGGTCTTCCAACTCTGGCCTGGGAAGACAGGGGGAAAGCTTTGGTCACTAGGTAGTTGAGGACTGGAGTCTTGGCTGTATTAACTTGATTCTTGACTTTGCTAACTAGCTGTATCTTAGGGTTTCAGTTTCCTTATCTCACACGTTTGAGTTGTTATGAGAATTTAGCATAATACATATGAAGTTGCTTTGTAGCCCACAGACATTGCTCTGTCAACGCGAACGTCTCCGTCAGGTGAGGAACAAGTGCTCTGTGTTGAGACTGGCAGGCAAAAATCACACTTTTGGGCCCCTGGAAACTGCTGAAGTGTCTCTCTTGCTACTGTATGCCTCCTCAGGGAGGTATAATTGTAAGTGGAAATTTGATTACACAAAAATGATGTAGAAATCAAATTAGTATCCTCATAGGCAGGGGAGGATGATTTTTTAAAGATTTATTCATTTTATTTTAAAGTCAGATTTACAGAGAGAGATGGAGAGACCTAAAGATATTCTATCCAATGTTTCAGTTCCCAAGTGACCACACTGGCTGGTGCTGAGCTGAGCTGATCTGAAGCCAGGAGCCAGGAGTTTCTTCTGGGTCTGCCACATGGGTGCAGGGTCTCAAGGCCTTGGGCCATCATCTGCTGCTTTCTCACACCACAAGCAGGGAGCTAGATGGGAAGTGGAGCAGCCAGGACAGGAACCAGCACCCATATTGGTGGATGGGAGGTGAGGTCTGGGTATTTTTATACACAGTTACTCATCTAATCTTCACCATAACCCATGTGTATAATCACTATATTTTGCAAATGAGAGGTTGAACTTCTCTGGAGAGTAGCCCTTGAGATAGAGTTTGGAATTCAGATGATTGTTTGGGAGCGATTGTGGGATCAACACCCTGGAGGGGAGAGGCAAGATGCAGGCCTGGGCAGAAGGTGACTGAGTTGTGATGTTGGCACTTTGATAATCTCAACTGACCACCCAGAGAGCTTTGTCCAAAATGACCAGCGCCTTTCCATCCAAATTGGCCTCCCTTTGAAATATGTTAAGCACTTTTAGTTAAGGGTTAAGTGTTGTGGCATAGCACGTGGGACTGCCACTTGGAATGCCTGCATCCCATATAGGAGTGCCAGATCAAGTACAAGCTCCCCTGCTTCCAATCCAGTTCACTGTTAATGAATCCAAGGAGCAGCAGATGATGTCTGAAGCACTTGTGCTCCTACCACCCACATGGGAGACTCAGGTGGATTTCCTGACTTTGACATGGCCCAGCCTTTGTTGTGGCAGGTGTTTTAGGGAGTAAACCTGGAGATAGAAGGTCTCTCTCTTTCTCTCTGCCTTTCAAATAAAAACAGACTAACAAATAAACATTAACATTTTTTTTTCATTGAGAAGCCATTAGGCTCAGTATTTTAAGTTTCTAATAAGCAAAATGAAGTTCAATGTATCTTAAACAGTAAAGAAAAGCTAGAGACTACCAATCAGAATCCTCCAACTAGTCCCTAACTACGGTCTTTGCACTCAAATCAATCGACTCTATTTTCTTTGCCTTTCTCCAGCTAGCCTTAAGTCAGGGTGCCTGCACCATAATACGAGAGTTCTCTGAACCTCTTCTGGTATTGAGTGCTGTCTAGCTCATGTCTTTGTTCAGGTAAATTCTGTTATGTTTGCTAAGTCCTTTTCCTTTAACCTGTTGGCAGCTATAGGAAGGACATGACTTCAGGCAAAGTAGCTCTGACACAGTAACTGAGGCACCTGACAGTTGAACACTGTTCACTAATGATGCTCCCATTAGTTAGGGTAACAGGTCCTTCCATAAGTAAGAATCTGGGCAACACATCAACATGTCCATCCCATGCAGAAATGGAGGCTCAGAGGAAGTTACTTGCTCAAGGACACAGTTTAGAGATTGCAAAGTGAGGATATTTATAACTAGGTGGTACTTTAACCTGGTTGATACACTGTTCAGTTTTTTTCCTCAGTGTTTTTGGGGACATTACACAGCAAATCATTTACTCATTTATCCAGGTAGTCATTTGTTCATTGCCTTTCAACAAAAGAATTTCATAAATCTTTCTCGAGAGCAGATCTTGCATTGTGTGTCCAGAGACATACTGGAGCCTTGGTTGGACATTTTTCTGCCCCCACAGAGCTTACATTTTCTTAATTTACCTCTCTGTTGGGCTGATGAGGTCTGAATTTATGGCAAGTAGGCAACTTTTGGCTTTCATCTGTGAGGTCTCTGTGAATGAATCACTTCCTCACATGGATTCTGCTCAGCCTGGTGTCTGAGATGAGCCTGTTCTGGGTGCAGATGCCGCTGATGACAGGCAGCCTTCTGAATTGCCACAGCCCTGCTGGGGAGGCATCCAGCTTTCCTGAGCCCTGGTGGCCAGGGCAGGCAAGTCTGTCTGCAAGCAGATAATGGCTTGCATGTGTGCACTTCTGGTCTGTGGCTGGCTTTCTGCTGCTAGGTTATTTTCTATGTCTGTGGTGAAATGTGCAGACTGTAATTGTCAATGTGGTAATTGTAATTTTTTTTCTGTTGTTTAAGCTGAACAGAAGGCCAATCAAAGCAAAAATCCTATTCCTTCCCTTCTCCCATTTCCCAAGAGAAATCCACAGAAAC